TTCCGAGTTGTTTGCTGGGAAATAGTCTTTCCAGATTGTGCATCAGAAACCCAGGCAATAGCAAGTAACTAGGAGCGATCAACCAAGAAGCCTCACCAAACTGTGCTGTAAACGGACATCCTAGCTCCCCTTCTTGAAAGCTCCCCTTTGGTGCAGCATTAAATCCCTTTTTGTTTTTCTGACACTTGGTTGCCTGCTTGGAATCAGTCTGTAACAGCTTGTTAATGCAACCATTCACTTCTGTGCTGTAAAAAGAGTGTTGCTCATTCTTTGGTGCAAGCAAGATTAACGAATCCTTTATAAAAGAAATCATGGTAAAAATTACAATGTAGATTCATAACATTCTTTCTTGTAGTGTAGTTGTAATCTAGGGAATCATAGAGCAGCAAGGCTGGATTGTTAGGTGCTCGTTTCCTATCAGGGGCTTACAAATATTCCCTCTTGACTAAAAGACACATTTGGAAAGAAACTGAGAATTGCAGAAGAAATACATAAGCTTTATTGATCAGATCCAGAGAGAAAATGCATTGCACCCCTAGGAGTATTTAAAATGTGAATTAGAAAATACACTTGCTGAGGGCAAGGATCTGAAAAAGTCCAATGTCAGGTTCAAAGTCTACTGACCTCCTCAGCAAGCCTGACGACAATAAAGATTCAACAACTGACCAGATTTTACTCACCTGTCAAAAAACAGTCACTTGCTCCAGGTGAGTGATCAAATAACATTTGGCAAAGTAATGCTGGAACTCTAGTTGAAATGTTTATGGTTGGTGGTATAACTGCATTGTTATTTAATAGGATAGCTATTTCACGCTCGATAGATGGCGAGCAGTTACCAAATACGTATTTATAGAAACCTGGCAGAAGCAGGTATCCATTGCATACTATCAGTTTTAGTCCCCATGACACCTACACCCCTGTTAACAATCAGCCATATCAAGGGTGCGATGGGTACAATACAATATGGCATAAAGCTTTTATTGTGCAGAATTTGATTCAGCAGTGAATACATCATTTTAGGACTCTGGTGATTTGATTTCCATTTGCCTTTCTGCCACGGACTTCTCATGTGACCTTGGGCAAGAGATTGAGGATTAGATCCACAGCAGACTTTACATAATTGCAGTGCTCCAGTCGACTAATGCTCAGCTACCAGCTAACCATGCCACACAGCAACTGGCACTTGTGGCTGTGACCTCGAAATTTCCCAAGCACTTGCAATGCTGATTCAGTGGCATGTCTCAAAGGTTCACAGTTTCCCTGCTGGACTGGGAACTGCAGCGGCAGCAATCTGACAGTCTGAGCACAAGAGCAATCTGCAGACCAAGCACTCCTTTGCCTCTGTCACTTGAGAGAATTAGATGGGGAGAGGGTCTCAGAAGGTAACAGAGAAGATAAGATCTTGTCAGCAAGGTGCTAGTGCTCCCAATTTCTGCACTAACTCAACCATGGGAGCACTCATCAAAGGAGTGGGCAAGCCAGGTTGCAATCTGCTCCCTCTTGTGACAGCATTCACCTCCCTCACCTCAGATCATGATGTGTTGTGCCACGGGGGTCACTCTCAATCTTGCCTGCCATGGGACTTTAGAACACGTTCACCAGGACAGGGAGAAGGAATGAAATGGCTGCAGCGGCTCCATGGCTGAGGTGTGGAGCCGTTCATCCAGGAGATGAACTGCCTGGGATCAGTCTTGCTGGAGGCGGTCAGCAGCTGAACCCAGCTCTCCCGTAATTTGAGCAAGTACTTGAGTAGTTAGCTGCTGCTTAGGCACAGGAGCAATCATAGGGCCTCTCCTTCCAGCCAAACCTGGGAAAAGTTCCCTCAGGAAGGCTTTATGTATCTAATTTCAGTAGAGGGGTCAAGGTTCTGAGTGCTGAGGGTCCTTTACGCCTGAAATAAGGTACCTAAAAGGCAAAAACTCCAGCCCTTGGTGTTCCCTGCCGGCCACCTTGGGGGGAACCCGGTGTAGGGTGCAGCCTGTGGTAAGATGCCTTTCTCGAGCATCTCCTATTTTTCCATCTTACTGTATTGAGAATTTATGTACTGACTTGCAGCAAGATGTGCTAGAAAACATGATGTCCTTAGCCCTCCTTCCACACAACGGCACTGGTCTCCATCATTAGGAATAATAGGGAGCCTTCATGCGAAACACATGCAAGTGTGGAGCTAAGCAAAGATCTGAGCTTGGTGGTTAAATGTTGTTACAGCCTACTGCCTGGTGAACATGAGTGTGTGCACAAGAGAGAATGGGCTTAATGGATGTCAAGTACAGAAAAATCTCCCAAGAGAGTCCACCCTTTCTGTTTCTCCCACATGCACCCTATAAGAAATGTATAATTCCAGAGACCAAAACGCTGAAGAAATATCTCAGACACCAAGAAAAGAACAGGAGAGATCCAGCATGGTTTCCTTGAAATATATAGCTCATGGTGAGTAACAAGCTCTGACTGGGGCTCCTCCCTCGAGTAAGGAGCATGTGAGGTTCTCTCTTAACTGGGTCCTTTGGTGTCTAAGAGGGTTTGAGCTCATGTGGCAACATTTCCTTCTTTCAGGGCACTTCCCTCTCTTCCCTTCCAGGTCCCTGCTCTTCATGAAACTTGCCATAGTTTTGTTATGCTTCAGATCCCTGCCTCTGGAAAATTTGGCTGAAAAGGCCCAATAGCTAGAAAAAATTATTAGGGGAGGCAGCTGACAGACAGACCTGGAGGGAGGGAGAAGAGAACCACAGTGAAAGAGAAGAGAATCACAGGGCTCTCGTATCCTTAGGAAGTCAAAACGCTGACAGCTCATGAGTAAAGTTGAGCACGTATTTAAGGACTTTACCAAATTGTAGCTACGAACAGCAGATTGAGAAGAAAGTGATATGATAGGAAAAATTTCCTTCCCAGGACAACAGCCCAGCATGCAGGACTGACTGACACTGTCAAAAGCTCAGGGTGCACACCAGCTATCACCAGAAAATGGACACCATCGTTAAGCTGATATTACAGTGGGATAGCACACGGGGTCTGCGTCTCCCCGCACCCAGGCATATTGGGAACTGCCACCAGATTCCCACACAGCCCAAGGTCCCTTTCCAGATTGTAAAGGGAATGAAGGTGAAGGCCATCATGAAGCAGTCCTGACAGCTCCTGCTGTCACTGATGGGTGCTACCTGGTGAGGACAAGGCCCAGGGCCAACTGAGCTCCTCTGGGACCAACAGCAGCTTCTTTGCACCATCCTTCGTGCATGGCAAGAGCTCCAAGGATGAAGTGCCAGCCCCTCGGGTTGGGGTGGGAAAGCTGGGGGCTGTTGGGTTAGTCTGCCAGGAAAATACTCCAAGCAATATTTGGAGATGCAGCTGCCTACTGCTTTCTGGCTGGAGTGGACAAGGACTGGGGAAGGATTGTAATAGGAGAGCAACCCGGGGCAGAGACAGCATGAACACAGGCTGCTTCACAGCTCAGGTTAAAGGGCTCCTTCTCCTTTCTTGCCTTTCTCCTGTGACTCCACTCTGCACCACTGACTACTGAACAGCACCTGCAGCTTGCGTGTGGAAAATCCTCTGTACAGAGCAATGCCAGAGGCTGAACCAGGCAGTCCCAGAGCTAACAGTAGCTATTCCTGCTCTGGGGTGATGTTTACAAGAGCCCTGCACACCCCGTGAGGTGAGCACAGTGAAGAAGCAGATCAAGCAGCTGGACACAAGGCTTCACAATAAGTGTTTAACAGACAAACTAGAAAAAAGCTACTTGTCCTGTAAGGTCTCAGCTTTAATAAAGAAGGGGCAAACCAGGGCAAGATCAAAGCAGCAAAGCTGAGAAATATCTGTTCTGCTTTTCTTCTCTTCCATAGCTCCCCTGCAATATTTTGTCCTGTCTCACACCACCGCTTCTCAGACCTTCTCCCCTCTCCCTCTTCTATCTGAATCTCCTAAATATTGGGATCGTTTCACCTTCCAGTGGGCCAGCCCCTGTCTCTAGGACTTCTGTAGCAAGAATAATGAGCGACAGGGTTAGGAGCTTTCCTTTTGCACTTGAGAAGCTCTCTCCAGCAACTGAGGTTGTCTCACTACCGTAGCAGGCTGCCTGCAATGCACTCCGTTACCCTCTTCTCTGCTGAAACTCGCTCAGTCCTGGCTCCCCTGCCATTCTTCCCTAGTCATCTCTGTGAAGTGTAACATACTTTAAAAAAAAAAGGTTCGTCAAGCCCAGATATTTTAGGCCCTTCAATGCAACCATGCCCCTAGGCTTGAAAATTCATGGAGGACTGCCCTAGCACAAACCAGTCTGATGAGAGGTAGGAGAAGAGGGACTTGGTACTCTGCCTTCCAAATTAGGCCTAGGTTCAGCCTGGCCTCTAGTGATAAACGGTAGAACAAAGTGAAACTCCTTAATGTATTTGGCCAATTCTGTAACACAAGGGAAAAAAATCTCCTACGAACCTGGGGGCATGAGTCCGTGAGACCACATTGCATGACATCTCCCTCCCAGTGCCCAACCACAGCCAGTAGGTACCTGCGGTGTGAGATGAAAAGATAGGTTTTGAATCCAGTAAAACGCCAGGTTTAAACTGGCTGTAAGGTATAGCTCCTCCCAGTTCACTTCAGAGCAAGGATTTGTTTTCAAGTGTTGAAACTACTGCAGCTCCTCTCATGAGCTTCCAGCTCAGGATGGAAAAACTGGTGCAACATCAGCTGTTTTTTGGGGTATTTCCACCCACATGATCTTGAAATCTCTTGAGAGCAGGTGGTTCCCATGAGAGTTCAGAGCCGTGTAATATATAGCAAAAAGGCCTTCCCTGCTTCTGATGCAACACAGAAAAAGG